TTTTTTTATACTTCACTTTCTAACTTATCATAATTCTGACAATGATTAGCTACCAATTCTATGTATTGATCAAGTTTTATCGGATTCATTAGTATAAATTTCCTTTAAAAATATTTATCTTTTTAGCTCCATTTATATTTCTTTATATTTTCTAGAAGTTGGTCTATCTTCCAATTAGGATCTTCATATGGTATAAGCTGCTTATCTTTATCTTGTACTAAATGTTTTTGTAAGAAAATAATTTTTATTTTCAATAGATTCTAATTTATGCAATATTTTTAGAAGAAAATAATTTGTACTATTAAGTAATTTTAAGGTCTCTTTATTAGCTGATCCTGAAACGGATAGCTGACTAAAAATTATTTGTGGTTGTTCTATTAAGTTATTTGTTTCTTTTACTGCCTCATTAAAATAGCTACTATCTTTGTATTTTATCCATTGAGATTTTCCAAAAATTCTTCAATTCGGTCTAGAATTGCTGTAATCATTCTTGTCTTAAAGTGAATCTCTAATCTATTTATAAGTTCTGGACTTCTCATTATTGCTTTAACATGTTGTTCTGTTTGCAAAAGCTGATCTAAGAGTCTTTCTTTTATTACCAATAAACTATTTTCTATCAGACCAATCTATATAAGATAGGTAAATAGTAGTTATTCATTTTAACTATAATCTATTATAGTCTTTTGTATTTTGTTTTGTGTTTCTTCAATGTTATCTATTCTGTTTTGTAGCTGAATTATTTGATTTTCAACCTTTTTCCATTCCTATTTAATTTATCTTGTCCTTTCTTTAAATAATCCAAGTTTTCAATAATTCTTTCGTCAGGGAAGATTTTATGCTTTTGTCTTTTAATGGTTTTTAAGTTGTCTAATATTTGAGTAAATTGCTTAATTAAGTTTCCATTATTATCTTGAATTATTATTTTTTGAATATTCTCTTATTTCTTCATACTTCTTATCTTCCAATTTGTTTAGGATTCTAAGGTTTATACAGTTTATAAAATTTAATTGTGCGGATAAAATGTGATTATCTATTGTTACATTATGTGTAACATCCCATATCGCTCAGGGGAGTGAATCTTGTAAGCCTTATATGTATATTCTTATCTCTACCTAACACGAGGCTTTTTGGGAGCTTACTGGCTTCGGGTTCCATCGGAACTCCGAAGTTAAGCAAGTTCGTGCCAGATCAATCCCATGATGGGTGACCCACTGGGAAGTTATCGTGTGAGTTCCCAGAAACAAAACCGTGAGGACGTGGTCGGGGTCCAAAGTAGACAATATTGTGCTACGGCGGAGTCGAGTCCGGAATGTGGTGGGGGTCCGGGCCGGGATGTGACATTATGGGGTACATGAGATATATGAAAATAATATTGATGTTTTGATCTTGATATTGGACAATGGAGATTACAATATTGTCTTTGTTTAAGATCTTGTTGACCCTAGAAATTACAAAGCCTACGTGGCGCGCAGGCCGAGTATATATTCTAAGCTAACTACGTCCTTCGGTGATTGCGGGGCGTGCCAACTCGTCGGCCGAGGCTCGGCCGAGGAGTAAATTTGATGATGCTGCGTTGGGTCGCGCTACTGACTTCTGCGTCTTGCGATTGCGGCCGAGAAAGGAACACGTCTCGGCCTCTTGGGTTCTCGAGCCTGAAGACAAGGCTGCTATTTCTTACAAAGTTCACGAACCGAATTCGGCTTGCGATGTGCCGAATGTAATAACTGTGACACCTCACCTCGCCGAGAAGGCTAATGAGATGACCTCGACCAACAAGGATTCGAAAACCCTTCTCGACCGAGACTTGGATAGGTAATCGACCGTTCTCGCCGCAGTGCTGTTGATGCCAACGGAAGATACTGCGAGACCGACCGACTCTACGGTGACAGAGCTATCTATGCCGACTTAAGATATCACCGGTTGCTTCCACAGTGCTGTTGATGCCAACGGAAGATGTGTCAGCGAAAAAGGAAAAGAAAAAAGATCTCAAGTTGTGAGAGTTTGCGCAGGGCAATTTTGTATTGATTTTGTGGGGGCTTTTCCTGATGCACAGCTTCCGCTATTTATAGCACTGGACCCTGAATCTGAGATAGAATCCTATTCGGACTAGGTTTTCCCTCTCCGGATCAATATCACCTCGACCAGTCCTATTTTCATTAGGATTGTGAACCTAGTCCTTATTCGAGCCCTATCCGCTTCTAGGTTGTTAATCCTGCCGAGACTCCCTATTGTATCAGGACTCGACTTGTCATTGCATTTTTGACCTAACCGGCCTAGGTTTGGAAGCCCACAAGCTGAACGATCCATGGTCTTCTTGTCGCAAGGCCTTCCGGGCCGAGAATGATTCTACACTCGGCCCAAACTATTATTTTGGGCCCAAACATTGCCCCCTCGCTTTTGAGGTCCTCGGCCTGCAATCTTCGGCCGAGTTCCGGCCTTGAAGAAGCGAATCTACCATTCAGAATCCTCATACCCGAGTTCCAAGGCGCATTTATTGAGCACGATCGCACGATCTTGATCCTGCTAACCTACTCGCCACGTGGCGTCCTCTAACATGGCCAATCCCACATAATGACGTCTAAGGCGTGCGGCAGCCTGAACCGTCTTGCCATCATGACCATTATCTCAATCCGCGAGCCACTACCTCAGTCCGTGAGCCCATTTGTCATCGTGCGGTCGTCGAACCGTCTTTTCGTCATTAATTTAGCCGTCACACTTTTAAAACTGACAATGTCATACCGCATCTGTAGAATTTAGTCCAATGTTATACCTCCGTTAGCTTGGCCATGAATTTCTCAGTTAAATGCTGACCTGGCTTAATCCGTGGCCCAGTTCGTCGCCCAAATGGATTCCATATGGCACCACATCCAATGTTTTCCCGCCAAATGGCATCCAGCTGAGATTCCCAATACACGTGTCTTTCTCACAGGACGACACGTGGATATTCCCTTAAAAATATTAAAAATTAAAAAAAGGTAATATTAAAAATTAAAAAAAGGTAAGGGAACATTGTAAAGTGTGTCTTTCGAATTGGTTTTCCCCCCGATACACCAAAATCCTGTCAATCTAATTCCATTCCCAATTCCAGAAAAACAAGAACCCTAACCTTAGTTCTCGCAGCTCCAAATCTCGAACAAACGGATTAGAAATTCAGCGAAAAACCCAAATCATCTTGTCGACTCGCTTCTCTGACTTTGTTGGTGTTGGAAGGGGGTTTCATCTGGGTTCCATTGGCTTCGGAAAAAAATCGAAGGATTCAACATGGGGTGGTACGTGCGAAACGATCCCGATGAAACGACACCTACCTATTTAAGTTTTTTTTGTGCTTTTGATGATTCCAAATGCATACTGAACTTATTATTTGGAATGGGTTGAAAGTGGGTTTTGTTTATTCTTGTAGCATTGTTTATTCTTGTTTGAAAATATGGATTTATGCTTCGAAATGGTTCCTGAGGTGTTGGAATGGGTTGAATGTGGGTTTTGTTTATTCTTGTTTGAAAAAGTGGATTTATGATTTGTTAATTCGAAATGGTTCCTGGGGTGTTGGAATGGGTTGAATGTGGGTTTTGTTTATTCTTGTATAATTGTTTATTCTTGTTTGAAAGGGTGGTTTATGCTTTCTTAATTCGAAATGGTTACTGAGTTGTTGGACAATGGGTTTGTTGCTTTCTTGCTTTGTTTACTAAGTTGTGGTTTGTTGCTTTATTACTTTGTTTATTCCTGTTGAGAAATGCTTAATGTGCTTTGGTTGTTAGCATATAGTTGTGGTTTGTTGCAATTTCATATAGTTGCATATAGAATGTTGTGCATTGGTTTTTGTTGTTGGCTTTTAAAATGCAATTAGTTGCATATAGAATGTTGTGCATTAGTTGCATATAGTTGCATATATAATGGTTTGTTAGGTTAAAATGCAATTGCTTTTGTTTGTTGTTGGCTTTTAATTAGGGTTTGTTTTTGTGAATTTCAATAGATCCAGAACTATTCTATATTGAATTGCATCACGGTGGGGAGATAAGTTATGACCTCTACGCTGGGGGAAAAGTGACATATATAGATAACTATGATAAAGATCTCATGTCACTGACGGTGATAGATGATATGGTGGAGGCACTTGGATACAGTGGGCGGTTCATGAATTACTATTACAAGATTCCCAACATAGACCTTTCCAATGGTTTGAAGCCGATTCAAAGTGATTCTGATGTTCAGTCCATGTGCAATTTTGTTCCAAATGATAAAGTGATTAAGATGTACATCGAAGAATTGAAGACAGAAGAAGCCGTAACCCAAAAGCAACAGTTTATGAAGTCCATGGAAGTCGGTGGTCCAAGTAAATTGGTTATTGAGGAGATAAGTAGTTCAAAAGGGGGTTGTTGGGCCAATAGCAGTTAAACCAATCAGATCTAGGGGCTTGCTAGCTATTGAAGCGCTAGAAGTGGATGATTGTTGCACATCTCAACTAGTGCAAACATGTGTAACTGAGGTAGGAGAGATAAATGCTTATTCAAGGAATGGTCAGAGAACTTATGAAGGGCCAGAGGAGAATAAGGGGAAATATATGGCTAAGGTAAAAGGAGAGGATACGCAGGTAGAAGAAGGGGATACTGAGGTAGGAGTAGGAGATGGGGATACTCAGGTAGAAAAAGGGGATACTGAGGTAGGAGATGAGGATGTAGGAGAGGGGGATGTAAGAAGGAGGGATGTTGAATTATTCTTTGATGTACCTATTAGTTTTAAGGGGAATGTTGAAGAAGAGAATGAAGAAGTTGCTCAAGAAAATGATAGTGAGTTTGAAAAGAGCGAATATGGGAGTGATGATGATAACCCCCGTGTTTTCCAAGTTTGATGGTATTGTGGAAGAAAGGGAATCTGAGCACAGAAAAAAAAGGAACACGGAGCAAACAGATGAAAGGGATTTTGAGGAAAGAAGTGCAAGACAATCTGAGCAAAGTTAGAAAGAAAAACAAGAGCAAGGGGAAGAAGAATTTGATACTGAAAATATGGAACAAAATGTGGTTGATGATCCAAACTATAACTCTGATGCCCTTGAGAGTGTACACTCTTCAGATGATGAAAGAGGCAAAAAACATGAGCAATTTCCAGAGTTCAATGAGAAAACAGACATGAAAAATCCCACTCTTACACTCGGGCTTGTTTTCAGGGATCATGTGCAATTCAAACGAGCTCTCATCATGTACTCCTTAGTGAATAGATATGGGGAAATCCATTTTCCTAGGAATGAGAAATTGAAAGTCACAGCAAAATGTGCAAAAAGGTGCCCTTGGAAGTGTTGTGTTGGAAAAATGTATGGTTCAAAAACCATACAGATCAAGACCATACTTGATGAACACACATGTGGGAGAACTTGGGCAAACAAGAACATGAAGTCCCATTTGCTGACCGATTTGTACATGGACAAGATAAAACTGAACCCCACATGGCTTATGGATTCTTTTTTAGCAACTGTCAAATCAGAGTGGAATCACGGTTGTGGAAAAAATGAAGGCTATAAGGCTTTAGATAGGGCTTTGAAGATCATTGAGGGAAAACATGCAGAGCAATACACTAAGTTGTGGGACTATGCTGAGAAAGTGAGGAATACTAACCCTGGAAGCATAATGAAGGTGAAGTTGGATAGGGGGAGGTTCCAAAGGATATATGTGTGCTTGGGGGCTTGCAAAGAGGGGTTTAAGTCAGGATGCAGACCATTGATAGGATTAGATGGATGTTATTTAAAGAGTGTACATGAAGGTCAGCTACTTTGTGCTGTTGGTATTTACCCAAATGATGAAACATGGGATATAGCGTATGCAGTTGTAGAAATGGAGAATAAGTCTAGTTGGATTTGGTTCTTAGAGTTATTGGTCGATGATGTTGGGGTTGTCAATCAAGAGGGATGGACATTTATTAGTGATCAGCAAAATGGGTTAATTCCGGCCTTTCAAAAAGTCCTTCCTAATTCCCATCACAGATTTTGTGTGAGACATTTGTATACCAACTTCAGAAATCTGTTCAAATGGAAAACATTGAAGGATGCTTTGTGGTCAGTAGTCAAAACAACAGCAGTTCCCCACTTCAAAAAAGTAATGGAGGATATGAAGAAGCTCGATGAAAAGGCCTACAATTGGTTGATGAAGAAGCTTGCACATCATTGGAGCAAGTCCCATTTTGAAACATATCCCAAGTGTGACATGTTGCTGAACAATCTCTGTGAAAGTTTCAATGATGTCATACTTGTGCCAAGACAAAAACTTATTGTCATTATGCTACTCCTTATTCACACACTTTTGATGAAGAGAATTCAGATGAGAAGGATACAATGGTGAACAAAGTTGGAGATCTCTGTCCTAAAATCAAGAAGTTGGAGGAAGCCAAAATTCAAAGTGGCAGGTGCATTTCACTATGGTCAGGGGGCGCTAAATTTCAAGTTGATGCTAGAGGTGGGGAGCAATATGTGGTTGACTTGGTTGAGAAGACTTGTTCTTGCAGAAAGTTTGGCTTGACAAGAATCCCATGCAACCATGCAATAACGGCCATAAATTTCAAGAGAGAAAAACCGGAGGACTAAGTCGATGCTTATTATTCGAAGGCACGGTACTTGGAGGTGTTTTCTCATTTAGTAATGCCGATGAATGGGATGTCTTTGTGGGAGGAAACTGACAACCAACTAATATTGCCTCCTACATATGCAACTTGGAAGGCCGAGAAAGAGGAGAAACAAGGAAGCTGCTGAAAGGGACAATGAGGGTGAACAAACTCCCACTAACCCAACCAATAATCCTTAAGGTCCTCATCAACCACTTAAGCTAGGAAGGAAAGGGCAATGCACTTTGAAATGTACTATATGCAAAAATGAAGGTCATAATGCAAGAACCCATCATAGACATCTTCCTCCAAGGGACAAACAGGTACCATTTTCTACTTTATGTGGGTTTTTAAATCCTTTAACATCATATCAGACTCTTAATCCTTTAAATTGCTTTATAGGCATCCACATCTGCTCAAGGACAATCATCATCCACATCTGCACCTAAAAAGAGACAAG